GGGGGGGGGGGGGGGGGGGGGGGGGGGGGGGGGGGGGGGGGGAATGGGGTTTTGTTCTGCGTTTGGTGGGCGTTGAAGTGGGGAAGAACTAGACACAGCGGTGCGGCGATGGACAGAGAGAGAGAGAGGAGAAGTCGCCGAAAATAAAAGCCAAGTCCTGGGATATGTTTGGGGAGTAAGGGGAACGGGAGAGAGGGGAACGGAGGCAGTGGCGCGGCAGGCAAGCTGCGTGTGGAAGGAGAAGACGTTTTGGCGACACCTGATCGCATAGAGTTGTGAGAGCAGTGGCATGTATATATATCACCGGTGCGTTATGGCAGAGCCAGCTGCGAGTGTGGGTGATGGGGGGGGAATGAGAGGCCTCGGTGACGTGCACGGTGGTCCGTTCCCTGATTGCCCGTAGCGTAGTGTCTCACACGTGCGGCGCAGGAGAAAAGAGCCTGGCGTCCTTGTAGTAGCTTTGTTTACGAACACGGTGTAATCCCCAGTTTGGCGTGGTGCTTGCTGCGTGTGCGCACGCGAGACCGCCGATGCTCATACCGCTGCTGCCGCTGCTGCTGCTGCTGCGTCGTAAAATGTATCGCCGATAGGAGGATCTCCGGTCGACTCAGAAGGAAACCCGGCCGAAGGGACGGGGGTTGGGTTTGGCGGGGGCGACGTGGAGGTGATCGGGGGGGGTACCGGGGTGTCTTCAAGCGTCGCCGCCGCCGCCGCCGCCGCCGCAGCAGCAGCAGCAGCAGGCGGGGTTCTTCCCCCGGACAGGGGCAGCAGCGGCAGCGCTAGCCCTCACGGCCGCGAGGGTGCCGACGGCGGCGGTGGCTTGGCGGCGGAAGAGGGCGAGGGAGCGGTGGCGGGGGCAAAGGGAGGCAGCCCCGACCGTGAAGATAAGCAGGAGGAGGAGGAGGATGTGGCGGGGCGGCAACAGGACAGCAACGACGAGGACGAAGAGGAAGAGGAGTTTGTCCCAGACCCGCGCATGTGGAAAGGGGAGACCGCCTGCCGGAAGCTGAGGGTGGAGAGCGCCGCCCCCGTCGTCCGGTTGTCTCGGGCGTCCCCGCCGACCTCGGAGGTTCTCGCGGGGGAGGAGATAGAGGAGGTGCGCGCGCCGGAACACACGGTCCAGGGTTATCATTCGACCTAGAGGCTGGACTTTCTTGTAGCCCGTTAGCTGTGAGGATGGGGTCAATCCGACCAGGGTTCTCGTGCTACCCTAGCGGCTAGATTTTTTTGCAGCTCGTTAGCTATGAGGACGAGGTTGGTATGTTGAGTGTTTCGGATAGATTCTTGTGCTGGCCAGGGAGGTTGGAGTAGGGATGTCGGGGAGTGTCCTCTTTTTCGCATCGAAAAATGTTTGCACGCACGACGTGTTGAGTCGAAACTGGGTGAGACGTGTTGGTAAGCGATATTTTTACCCTGGCTTGCCTTGAGTTTGCCTGTTTGTTGCTTGGCAGCGGTGGGAACCTCTTGTCTTTTCCGATCTTTTTTATGCTTATACTTGAGTACAATCCATCAGTATTTTCCTTCAGCCTGTCGCTCTCCGCGATGATGGTAGCCCCACACCCTACTCGCCTCCTACATGTATGAACCTACCTGCGAGAAGCGTTCCGGAGTTGTCCCAGACGCTTGTCCTTGCTTGTGTTCCTCGCTCGTTCTTTGGTTATTTTCTTTCTTCCTTTCTCTCTTTCTTTCTTTCTTTCTTTCTTTTTTTTCTCTATTTCTCTATTTCTTTCTTTCTTTCTTGCTTAACTCTTCCCCTTGTCTCAAGCAGGTATCTCTCCACTTGCCCCGCCGCCCCCCCCTACCCCCGATGTCAATGTTGCTGGTCTAAATCTTATACTTCGCATCGTTTTGTGCCTCCTTGATATTTTGTTTGTTNCCCCCCCCCCCCCCCCAAAGGTCCTGGAGTTGGTGAATCAGGGCGGTCCATCGGTAGGCGTCATGGAGGTCTGGACTAGGCCATGTCGCTCGACCAAGAAGCCGCTCGCCTCGGCCATGTCTCTCCTCTTCTCCCTAGCGGACTCCGCCGCCGCCGCCGCCGCCGCCGCCGCCCCGCAAGCAGTGGCATCGGGCGAATTTGGTGGCGAGGGAGGCAGTGGGAGCGCAATGTCGTCTCTCGGGCTCGATGTCGGACTCGCCGCCCCGGTGGGGGTGTCCGGTGGGGCGGCGGAGGGGGAGGGAGGAAGAGGCGTTGTGGTTCCTGGGGGGGCGGTTAGGCTGGCGCTGAAGCTGCGCGCCGGGCAAGCGGCGAACCGGGACGTGGTGACCGAGGTAAGAAAGTGGGGGGGGAGGAGGCGGAGGCGGAGGAGGAGG